CAGCTCCATTCTATCGTATATTATAGGCCAAGGAGACCCTTCGGGGTGACTTACAAGATCGTCGTAAGCTATCCAAAATCACCTGGACATCGACTGTTGGTTGCGGCAGAGGCGGGCGCAGCCAGATTACGCCAACTGATACTGTGCACGCAGAAGACTTTCATATAGACGCTACAGTTACCATGAACCGGAGCCACCAATTCAGTCGTCCGCAGATAATTACCCAACCCTGATCAGAAGAGACACTAACCACCATTCTGGTAAGAGTCCAAGGGGTAACTCCACCGTTACTTAGCCACATGACTCACCGTCACTGCAACCCTTGGTCGCTCGTCTCCTCCTCGCGTGGCCGATTTCTCTGCCCAGGTCAAGTCTCAGCACAGAATAGATGAGCGGGAGGCCATTGCACGTTTTTATGAACTGCAAGCCAAACTGTCGAGTAATTATCACTCCCACTTTCAACAATGATAACAAAATGGCACGGCAATCAATGGCAAGTAAGCAGCGCATCGGCTACGACGCCCAGGCGATGAACACGCGTACCGCTAAATACTTTAAGCACGTGGTTGTACGCCCACAGTGTCCCATAAACGCTTTGTACCTTGTGACTCTACTAGCCTTTTCTGTAACTGTCTCTGCTGATGAATTGAAGTTAGAATTCGAAATATGTGGGTCGATAAAGTATTTCTTCCAAAGATTGCCTCCTCTCCATTTGAACTACTTCCTGGAACTGGCAGCTTTCCTAGTACTACTAGCCGAAGAACTTTCAGCTCGGTAGAAAAACAACCTTCACAACGACGAAAAATTAAAGAGGGAGCAAAGTTTATTTGTATTTGGTAATGAAGAACATACGAAATAAAAAGTAACAGACAGAGAAGAACAACATCAGCAGTGATCCATTCAGAACGCCGATTCCTGCTGAAGAAGAAAATAAAGGAAAGCTACTGAAATGCTGAAGTTAGTAGCGGGACTTTAGATAAATAAAAAACGGCCAAAATTTATCTATTGCGACAAATAAGTCAAATTTGTGCTATTGGGAGGTAGTGCTGGGTAGAGTTGGTCATTAAGTTCTAGTTGTGGTAAACAGTTTTCGTTCACAGAAGGCGATTATTTCTGTTACTCTCTATAGTATATTTTTGAACGATTCGACTGTTATCTAGAGAAAAGGATTCATAGTTTGATCAATCGATAAGAATATATTGGATAGAAAAGTGCGTCTGCGATCCTCTGCTAAAGAATTAAATTCGTAAAGGGCAGCGCTTGTTATTGTGATCCCCTTAATGATTGATGCATTGTTTAAAATCACATTTTTCGGCAGCGTCTGTGACCGTAGTACATAAACGAATTTTGCTCTTTCCTAGTATAAACTCGACTCGAATTCAAGTTTCTTAAACCCTCCCTCGGAATAGTATTCAGGCAGAAGCACTCCCCAAAAATGCAGGAGGAAGGGAAAACAATTTCTAAAGTTTCTTGTTTTCTGACTAGCAGTCAGCAACCAAAATCAGTTGATTAATACGTCCGGTAAAAACCGTATTTCGCGCCTGATCTT